GCAAGAGAAAAACTACCTCCTCTTCTGGGTAAATGCAGCCCTTCCTATAATAAGGTTGCTAAAACAAGACATCCTTGTGCCATGGGCCCACTGAAACAGTGTTGAATGAGAACTCCAGACACACAATCTTAAAGTTCCTGAAACTAGCTGCTGTGTTGGGAGTGTTTGAGGAACTACCCTGAGGCAAAGCCTGGCAGACCACTTTTTCTACAAGAGACTGGAGGTGCTGAGGAACTGAAACCCAATTTTGAAATAGGCAAAGAAAAATGCAGCAGGAGGTCCCTATACCAGGTTCCGTTGTGCCTACCCTGTGCCCCATGGAGGTAGGGCCTTGTACTGGCTACAGCTAGGAGCTTGTCCTGCAGAGGGGCCTGACCTCTATCCAGGCCAAGATTTGCCTCACTCAAGACCAAGGCAAAGGGGAGGTATTTATAGGATGATTCTGAGGTCAGGAAGCCCACCTCCCTCAAATAATTCCCCTTCTCCATACCAACCACGTTTTCTCTGCCTCTGGAATCAAGCACTCATGCCAACACAGAGGCAGACTCGTCTGTGCACAGTGTCAAGCAAGTAGGGAGAGAGTGGTCAGAGTCAGTGCCCAAGGGGACAGAGCACTCTGCAGTGACAGATTCCACTCCAAAGATATTAATAAGACAGCAGTTGGGCCCACAGTAACATTTTCACACACACACAGGTCAGGAAGATGTGACTGAGCCAGGTTTATGTGAACAGATGTTGGCGTTTTGTGAGGGGACCTACCTCTGTGGTGTGAAAGACAGGCTGTGTACTCTGTCTGTGCACCTCCCAGTATAACTTAACCCCTCACGTTCCTGGCTGCAACTTGGAAGAAGGGAATCTGTGCAGAAGATACCAACAAGATAGAGAAAGTGCTAGTGGATTTACCCTCCGTGAAAGAAACCTGGGAGCTGGGAGCGTTTGAGAAGCTCCACAAACCTTTCAGGTTGTGAATAGGAAGTTTCCTGTGTGAATCCACTAACAATTCTGTAGGGCAGAGATTACTCCCATTGTACAGATGAGAAAAGGAAGGCTCAGGGGTGTCAAGCAAACTCAAAAAGAGTCTGGAAGCTTTGGTAAAAAGAAAAGAAAAGGAAAGAGAGAGAGAGAGAGAGAAAGAGAGAGAGAGAGAGAGAGAAAGGAAGAAAAGAAAGAAAGAAGAAAGAAAAAAAAGGCAGGAAGCGAGGAAACAGTACGCTACGTGAGATGACGGGTATGTTCATTGGTTGGATTTTGAAGCTGACACCTAACGCATTTATAGATACAGCCCAGGGCTCCTAATGGTCATCATTATTAATGAAAAAGTTAAACCAAAAATGAAAAGTGCCTTGACACTTTAGGAAAAACAAGCCCTTAACCCTGACTCCCAGAAAGAAATTAGAACAAAGTAAAAAGAAAGAAAGGAAAGGAAAGGGAAGGGAAGGGAAGGGAAGGAAAGAGGGAGGGAAGGAGGAAGGAAGGAAAGGAAGGAAGGAAGGAAGGAAGGAAGGAAGGAAGGAAGGAAGGAAGGAAGGAAGGAAGGAAGGAAGGAAAAAGATTTATTCAAGGGTCTTGGATTTTGCAAGCTGGAAACATAGCTAGGCAAAAACCCAGAAGTGTTCCAAAGAAGAAAGGTTAAAAGTTCTTACAGCAAAAAGTACATTCTTGAAAATTATCAGTCCTGCGTTCTTAGCCCTCGAGTTGCTCCAGGATGGTTATCAGTCAGGTGACAGACAATCAAGATGATGGGCACCAGGAGGTCTGATCACATCCATAATGGGTGTCAGGTGGATATATATGTGAGTCCTTCAGGGGGTAATTAGAGGGTTACCTGGAGGTCCAGATGTATATCCAGGCATTGATGCAGGACTGGAAACTTCAAAAATGTTTGTTTCCAAGCTGTTTAGAACAAGAATGGTTCAACCTTGTTCATGCCTCAACCTTCATAATGTTGATAATTTTAACAAAGTGACTTCATTTTACATATTCCCTATCCTTTTTGGGGAGGAGGTTAAGTTACTGTTCGAGATCAATATAGAGAAGGGTTTAAGAACAAAATCTGGAATCTAAACAGTGGCTTTGCCACCTATTCACTGGGAATCTTGGGCAAAGTACTTCTGTACCTGTTTTCTTACCAATAAAAGGGGAAAAAGATGGTACTTACCTCATAATGTTGTTGTAAGGAGTTAAAAGAAGTACAGTAAGTCTTCACTTAACACCATCAGTAGGTTCTATGACTTTAAGTGAAATGATATATAATGAAACCAGTTTTACAATAGGCTAATCAATATAAACAAGAGTAAAGTTCCTATAAGCATCTCATCAATATTATAACAAAACAACATTGAACAAAATGATGTTATTCAAAGACCTGCTATAATTCATAGAAAATGCTCAACACAGTTTGCAGCACATAGTAAACAGATACCAATTAGCCCATCACTAGGAAAGCTGGCCTAGGTATACTGACTCCAGTGGCAGCAGTGGGGTTCAGTCAGAGTAGAGGAGATAGGCCCAGACTGCTTGGGAGGTTTGGAGGAGTAATCGAGGTAGAAACCATTATTCAGGGTGTCCCAGCTGCCAGTACCGAGCTTATCAAGAAGGAAAGGTTTTGATGGTGAGACGCCCACTTTAAAGAACGAGGAGCCGACATGAGAATGAAATGGCAGGCACGAACTTTATTGCAGGGAGCATGCTTCCGCATTAGGGGACTGTGTGGGCTTATATATGCCAGGGAACAATAGTGGCATTCTGCCACATATGCATGATACAACAAGCTGAATCATTCTTACTTAAGCTAGGCACAGGCACACTGCTACAGTAATGTAGCAGACTAAATCCGGGGTCCTATCCCTAGCCACAAGCCTGGATCACAGCCAAACCTGGAATCAGCCAGGAGAGGGAAGAAAATATGTGGCCTGAAACATTTAGGAAAGTGGTCCCCAATCTTTTTGGTATCAGGGACCAGTGATCCTTTGAGAATTTAATGCCTGATGATCTGAGATGGAGCTGAGGTGGTCATACTAGCTCTGGGGAGCAGCTGCAAATATGGATGAAGCTTCATGAGCCCACCCACTACACACCTCCTGCTATGCAGCCGGGTTCCTAACAGGCCACGGGCCGGGCCAGGCCATGGCCCAGGGGTTGGGGACCCCTGATTTAGGAGAATTATCCTGATTCCTAGGAGTTATGGAGAGGTTCTGAGAGGGAGCTAATTAGGCTAACAGCTGACTCAGCAGTTCTGACTTTGCCCCACCAGGTGGCACTTGACTGACACATGTGGATGTGGGGCCCCATTAAGTCCTCTGGGCCTGACGCTTAAGCTGTGGCTGCCCTGTGCCAGGGAGTAGGCATGGGTGGGACACTGGAGAGTAGAGGATTGGGAGGGAGTGGGAGGTGGGAGGTGAGGCCAGACTACTGGCCTCCATACCAGGGCTCTGGATGCTGTACTAGCTGGTGCTCCTCTCACTCACCTATCTGTGTGCCCTTCCTGGTCTTTCTGGCAGGTAACTTCAGAGTCTGCAAACAGAAAGAGAAGATGAAGGAAGATTGTCCACTCAGTTCTCAAGTGCCCATCAGTGACAGCAAGTCCATTCTAAAGTAAGCTTTTGTGTGCAGGGACAGGTTTCATGCCTACATCTCCTTGTGGCCACACACCCTCCCTCCATGGGCAGCGTTTGAATAAAGGGATTCTGGGTATTTTTCATAGATACGACGTATGCCTGTCTCTGGGACAGTGATAGAGATGCTTTTTTTTTTTTTTTTTGCCTGTCTCATTGGAGATCAAGGATCTCTTCAGGATATGGGTTTGACCTCTGCTCCTCCCGCCTACAAAAACAGGAAAGTATGACGATGCCCTCTGCAACTCTGCAGAGGTAATATTTAATTTATTTAAAAACTAGAGCAGTACTAACACTTATTGTGTTAAATGGTTAAGGGAAAAAAACCTCAAATTTTTAAATTTTTACTGAAAAAGTGTATTTTATTGACATGATTTTTACCTGCTTGTTTTTATTTTGTTTACTCTGCATCATCATAAAAAATGTTTAGGATACTTTTTCAAATTTATTTCTAAAGTACAGAAAAGTATAGTTGCCATTTTATTTTGCTTTTTGAGTCTTGAATCTAAATATTCTCTAAATTTGGGGAACTCCTATCTGCCATTCTGAAAACAAGCCAGCCTCCTTGAAATGGACTAGTTTTTACTGAGGACATGCCCCCTGGGATCCTCCTATTAGAGACCGGGAGAAAACAGACAGCATTCCATTGTGTCATTTCACAATTCTACCTGGATCATCATTTTTCTTGTTTAAATTTTATAATAAGAACAATATTAAATATCACTTTGGGAAAAGTCGTAATCACCATAACATGAATAATTTCATGTATATATCCTAATAATTTTGTTTCAACGTTTACACACTAATAAGCACGGTGAACATGCAACATCAAGTCTTGCTTTGTTAATACCATGAAGTTCTAAATCATTTCCCCTGTCAGTCACCATCAACTCACATCACACATGGGCGGCACACTGGAGCACCAGAGCAGGTTTTGCTCATCCATTTTATTATGTATTCTTACAAAATAAAATAATTAGCAAGATCTCATTAACATTTTTATATAGATTACATGTTGGCATGATAATATTTTAGATATTTGGGGTTCAATAAAATGTGTTACTAAAATTAATTTCACTTGTTTAATTTTCCCTCGTATTGTGGCTACTGAAAGATTGAACATTACATGTATAGCTTGCATTTCATGTCTGTTGGACAGTGCTGCCTTGAAGAGCCCAGCTTAGGTACAGGGAACTGTCCTTAAGCTCTTTGCTACACACCCACCAATGCACAAGTGTGGCCTTCCCTTTATTCTGGGGAGAAACCGTCTGGGCAGAGTGGCCTTCCTAGGGCCTTCAAGATCTTACTCTCACTGCTGTCACCTTCATCCCTTGACCATACCTCCAGGAAGTCAAGATGGATACAAGGCAGGTGCCACTCATGGTGCCCTCATGGCAGCCACACCAGGCCCTTGTAGGAAGTAGCATGGGGGAAAAACAGGAGTTTTTAAAATGCCAATAATCCAAGCCCAGGGGATTTATTTAAGGAAATGACTTATATGCAAAGTACATGCAGGCTGTCAGGAACTCTTGTCTGCAATAGTGAAAGTGTACAGACACCCTAGATGTACAATAATGTGGCCCATCTGTGATTTTCACTTCCATCTCAGCCCTACCTCTATGCCTTCCATGAGGGCTGATATGTGAAATCCTTAAGACTAAAGGGCATGTGTCCAAGGGCAATCTGGTCTCTTAACTGATTATGTGTGGCCAGTAAGACATGTACTATTACGCCCATTCTACAAGTGAAGAAACTTGAAGCCAGTGAAAATAAATGCCTTGTCCAGGGCCCAGCCACACTCCAAGAATATGTGTGCATGTCCCCATTCTTAGGTCGGAGCTGTTAAGCCTTCTGAAAACCTACAACTGCTACCATGAGGGCAGAAGCTTTCAGCTGAGACACCGAGAGGTAAGGCCTGTTTCTCTTCTTTATTCGTAGAGTCACCATTTATCCTGGTTTACAGAAGACAGTCCTTGTTTATACCTGTTATTCCAGGGTAATTATTAAGACCATCTCTTTCACTCTCAGAAGTGTCCCCATTTGGATAGTGAATTATAAGGTCACCCATCCTCTGAGTTGGGGACCAGGGGACCAGTAGTCAGGATCTCTCCTTTGAGGTCCCTGTAAGAGGTAGAGAGGGCCAGAACATCCCTATGAGAGTTCAGAGCAAGTGGAAATCACCTGTGGGCCTTCTCTTTCTAGCTGGGACTTTAGGTGAATTGCCAGAACATTGCAGTTTGAAATCTTTGAGACCACCCATCCCAGAACACAGATAAAGAACTTAGCACAGGGCTCTGGCTTGCCGAAATTCACATAGCAATCAAGGAAAGTCTCTATGTTTGTCAATCAGAATAAACATCAGAGGAAAGCCTTTAGATGGAGAAGAGCTCCCCAAAAGATGCTCAGATGGCCCGGCAGATCCACATATGAGAGGCAAGGGTCATATGGGGAGGAGAAGACACAGGAGAGCATGGGTCCCATCTGCAGGCTGCTGCTGCCCATCAAATCAATCTCATTGCTGCTGTGCAGGAATGTGGGCTGGTACAGTCAGACCCTTTCTAATATTTCAAAAGAAACTAGATATCTGAAATTTCTTGTAGAATTCTCCAAACCTCAAAACCCCATGTGAGCTAAACAAAACATGTCTGTAGGCCAGACACATCCTGTGGCATTGGCTGGACTCCAGAGAATGGCCAGCAGGACCCAGGCTCGGGGAGCTGCTCACTGGGTAGATCAAGTAGAGGCCTGGTCTTGCCACCATCCAGAACCTTTATACCTTTCACATGGGAACCCAGGTCAGGGCATTGGGCCCCCACATTGGTCTAACTCAATTTATTTGTAAAGCCTACTGGGAGTCTTATTGTAGTAAGGTTTTATTTTGGGGAGTGGGGGGTCCGAGGTCAAAGTCAGGTTGGCTCCTAGACTTTCTCTGGCCTGTCAGTATCTGATGAGAGCCAGTGGCTTCTGAGTTCCCCTTCTGTTGTTGAATATAATTGACCCCTGTCAACCCACAGACCCTTCATCCAAGTAGAAACCACTCTGCTCACTAATCCTCTCTTCTTTTAGTTATTCAAATAGGCACACGTCCTGCAGTTCCCAGAACAGAGGATGAGCCCCAACATCTGGGAAGCTCTGGGCAGCTGGGGGGTCACCTGTCAGTGACATGTGTCAGTGGCACGAAGGAGAGCCAACCAGAACCCATCTGCCAGACCACACTAGTCAGGTACCTAGGATACCCAGTCAGCCAGGCCAAGCCATTGTCACATGGTCCAGGAGCCTAGACAGGAGGGAAGCTTGCTGGCTCCTGGTCCATGCAGTACTAGGCTTCCTGTGATGGCAGGGCACAAATCTCATGCTCCACCTCTACTTGCCCACCCTGCACAGGGCCTGCAGCCACCCCTCTGTGCTGCCATGTGCTTCTTGGCTCTGCTCTTCCCTCTGCAGAGAGGCAGCCCCATTTGACCTAGCTTGTTACTACTGCGGCAGGGCTCTGATCCTACTGTCCTGTTGTCTCTGGTTTTACTGTCTCTTTTCTTACTTTAGTGTAAGCCCCCAGAGCTGGGCCCAAGGGCCTGCCTGGGTCCACATCCCCCAGGCCAGGCACAGTGTGGTCCTGGGCACAGAAGTTGGATAACTAGGCAGCAAGCCTGGAGGAGTTGGGCTGAATCCTGAGCTCCAGTGTTCTGGGCAGTTTTGATCTGTGCTGCTAAGTGAGGAGTTGGGCCCACTTCAGTTCTTTGCTGAAAGCATGGGGTGGGGTCATCTGGCTGGGCCCTGCTCCTCAACTCCAGGCCATTCGGGGTTTGATCTAAGACCATGGTAGCTCTTAACATGCATTCCCCAGACCCGTAGTTTCAGCGTCACCTGAGAACTGGTTAGAACTATGATTCTATCACCCTTCTTCCTCCAATCCTGCTGGATCAGAAACTCTTCATCCTCCCATCTGTTAACAGGCCTCCAGGGGATCCTGAGGAAGGCCGACTTTGAGAACTGCTGGTCTAAGAGTACTTGGAGTTCCCCCTGACAATCTCCTCTGTAAGAAGAGCTGTGTGAGGAGTGGGGCTGGGAAGTCCCAATTTGTATGTGATGGGACAGTCCACATGGAGAAGTAAGGAATCCCACAATGGGAAGAGGTATTCCTGACAGCTCCCAGTAGTAGGAGGTTAACATCCCACAGGCAGGGATTTTCATGTACCTAACCCTAAAAAAGCTGTGAGGCTCTGATGTGATCTCTCTGGAGCCAGAAAGTACCTTTCAAGAACCTTCCGCAGCCTTAATAGCCAAAGAGTGCCAGCCTGAGGGAGTACATCTTTTCAGAAATGACAGCCACCAAAAAGTTGGGCTACAGCTGTGGGAAGTGTGGAGTTCTGATACTGAAATGTATGACCGGTTCCTTCCATAACCCACCCACAACCCAACATCCAGGCCTCTGCAGTTTCTCAGAATGCAGACCTGGGGCCTCCTGGGCTTTGAGGGACTCACCGTTCTAGGCATTTCCTACAGTGCCACCACAGGCCATCCCCTCTTTAGGCACTGCAGGCCCTGAAGGCAGGGCAGACAGGTACCAGGCACTTTGCCTCCGTTTTGTTTTTGTAATACAAGAACTTTGCAACATAGGAGCTACCATTTTCCCTAAAAAAGAGACTGAGTCTCTCAGAGTTTAAGCCTTCAAACAAGGTGACACTGCAGTAAGTGAAAAGTGTTGGTGTGGCTTCAAGGCCTGAGCACAATGTTTATAATACACCAACACTATCACCAGCATTAAGCAAGGACACCTAAGCTAAGGTGCCCTCAGGCTGCCGAGGGTCTCAGCACCAAGTGTGCCCTCACAGAGCCATGTGAGGCCCTGGAAGAGAACCCCCCCCCTCCCCCCTAGTTGTCCCTGGGCCTTCCCTGGAGCAACTTGGAGAAATGAAGTGTGTCAGGGGGCAGAAGCCACTCTTGGGGTATGTTTCCCTGTGAACTTTCCTCCAGCTTCCAAAGGGCTAGGTGCAGGGATTCCCGCCCAGAAGACCAAGGCACTAGCTTCCTCTATTGTGAATTTTGCCTTTGAGATAACTTTGCTTACATTACAATGAAAAACTGAGCAACTGGGAACAATCTGTACCTTTTAAAGACAGCAGAGTGTTTTAACCAGGCTGGTAGGTATCTCAAGAGAAAAATGGACCACCTGAAATACCAGTGGGTAAATACATCGCTAATTGCTAATTGTGAGAGCAGGAGGCAGCGGGACCATTGTGTTCTGGTGTGTGCATATGTGGCCCTCTGAGAGCAGGCCTCCTGCCTATCCTTGTGCTCATCTCTCAGTGGACTCGAAGTGCCCCCTGGTGGCCCTGAGTGACACTGTACCAAGTCCCCATTCTCAGCCTCAGGACCCTGCTCAGCCTAAGGTGATGATGATGTGCAGTTGACAGACCACTGGCCCCTGGGTGAGTGGACATGTTTCCCGGGAGCCCCTGAGTCTTCTCAGCTTGCCCTCGACTCCCCATCCCCCAGGCGAGTGGGATATTGTGTCCTTTTCTACTCTAGTGGTGTGGGGGAGGAGAGAGAGACTGCTCTGTAGTTCCTCTCTCTCCCATGAGGACTTTCCCTCTGGGAGGGAAAAGTCCTGTAGGAGCTTGGAACAGAAGCCCCTTCCTCCATCCCCTCCTTGAATTTTTTGGAACCCTCTGAAGGTTCCATTGACTTCTTTCACATTGAGAGGTGTTAGCAGAGGAGCCCAGAGCCCTGGGGTCTCCTAACCCCTGTCTAACCTCCCCAAATACAGCAGTGTGGTTCCTGAGCTTGGAGGGAATTGGCCAAGTGACCCTAGTTCCCTCCACTTGACCCATTTTCAAGCTGTTTCACAGAAGGGGCTGCAGTGAGACTGGGCCCTGGGAACCTACCCATCCGGTCACGAGCCAGACACCCACTAAGTGAGGTCAGCCCAACCCCACCTTCTCCTAAGAACATTCTGGCTGAAGTCTGCACATTTTTTTTTTTTTTTTTTTTATATCTGTACAATTTTTTTTTTTTTTTTTTTGCTGGAGAAGGTCAGGAACCTGCAGCTTTGAGCTGGTTAGAGACACAGCAGATTGTGACAGATGCAAACATTTGTATGAAGTGCTTATAACTCCAAGTGCTTATATCTCCAAGTTTTTTGGTCCAATTTCCCCAACTCATATAAGGTATGAAGAACAGACATCCATGTCCCTGTTTTAAAGATAAAGAAACTGTAAATTTCTGAAACTTTTTCTTTTGAATTTATGGTTTACATTCTGCCTCCCCACAAAACACATATAAAAGAAGACAGATAACATTTTAAAAATCCAAGGAACTTTAAAAATAGCTGAGAGGGAAAGGAGGAGGGGAGGGCAGGGCAGGGCAGGTTAAGTTAGGTTGATAGTCCACAGAGCAAGGAGATGGAGGAAGCTGAAGCAGGCGTGAGCTTGGCTGCGGCCCCAGCTCTATCCTCCTGCTCTCTCTGTCCCCTCCACCCTGACCGGAGTCATCCAGCTCTGGCCCAGCCCTAGGGAACAGGGTGACAGATTCTCAGGCCCGATTCTTTTGAGTTCTCTGATGTTTCACTTGTCTCTTGGAGGAAGGAAATCCTCCCTCTACCCTATTCCTCACCCTCACCTTGCCAGTCTCTGGGACTCAGGCTGGCCTGGGCCATAGGATATTTGGCCCCTGGACTTGCCTGAGAACAGAGTGATTGGACAACATTCTGTACTTCGTCCCACAACTGAGGTCCCCTGGGTGGAGGCAGGTAGGGGTGGGGATGGGCAGAGATAGAGCTGCCTGGTGCCAATCATTTGGCATCCTGCAGACTGAGCTGGTGCAGGTTCTATCTTGGCCCTTAGCTTGGGGAAAATTCTCCTGATGACACAAGACTTGTAAGCTGGAGCCATTGAGGTACTCCCTGGTACCACAGTGACAGGTCCCCCTGAAACAGAGTAAGGGCATTTGCTGAGACCCTATGTTTTCTCCTAGGCATCATGGAACATGGGCTCTGAAAGTAGAGGTCCAGGGGCTTGGAAGCACCCTGGGTCTTGCTCTGAAACCTCTGAGAGGCTGAGACCTTGTTTCCTTCTCTCCTCCCCCCAATCTCGTTTCTCCACATAGACAACAGCTACAGGTGCCCCATCATGTGTGTCGGCTTTATCCCATTTACTTGTCATAACAGCTTAGGAGGCAGGTCCCATCAGTTATCCCCATTTTACCAAAAAAACTGAGAGACAATAATTTGCCCTAGGTGGTCAACCAGCAAGGAGCAATGCAGATGGGATCAGTAATATCATACCATGTGAGATAAGCTGTTCTCACTATTCAGAATAGAGGTCTCACTATGAATTTTCAAAGCAGGCCTCCCCTCCAAAAAGGCATTTTCCTCCCAGAGACCTGCCTATGGCAGTGGCCACCTCAAGGGAGGGAGAGTGGAGACATGAAGCAGACCAGCTTGCTCCATACAGAAGCCTTTATTAGGGAGGGGTCAGAGTTCATGGATCACTGGGAGGTGCAGATAGAGAGTCCTGAGGACACTGCTGGGGCAGGAGCTTGCAGGGAAGGCTGCAGCCTGGTCGTGTTTCCCGGAAGCCAAGAAGCCCAGGTGCCAGTCCCATGATGGTCTCTCCAGAGAGTGCCCCTGTACCCTGGCATCACATAGCCTCCTTCTGAGGACTCCCTGGGCCTTCCTGCTGTCTATCTGTCTAGGTAGAACCCAAGGGTCAGCAGAGAAGCCAGTCCTTCTTGACTTGTCCCTCCAACTTGGCTTTTTTTCCTGGGACTTCCCAAAGAGCCAGTCCAGAGGGTCAGCAGTGCCAGCCTCAGGCAGTGTGGGCTGTTGGGTGCTGGAGTGGGTAGTGATATCATATGGGGACCTGGTGGGAAAGCTCTCCTCAGAAGCCCAGGCTGGCCAGTGGGGTCTTCTCAGTCGGTCCTTGGCTGCAGGCTTGTCCAGTACTGAGGTGGGCTGCGCCAGCTGACAGATGGACCTCACATAGTCATCCAGGCTGGGGGATGTTGGAGGTTCCTGCCTAAGACCCCCAGGCAGCATCTCCTCCTGGCTCTCCCGGATTGTGGGCAGGTGGGCCACAGAAATCAGAAGCCGGGACCTCATGGCTGCTGGCAACAGGGAAGCAGCAACCTGTTGGTTGACAGAGAACTGAGAGTGAGGATCTGCTGTGCCACCCCTCCTATGCTCCTCTTCCCCAGCTGAGGCTGCCCATGTGAATCATGCCCCTGAAAATGGTTTGAAGTCTGCAAATCCAAGACCGGGCTCAAACAACTGGGCCCCTCCTTCCTGCTAACATTAAAAGCCCATGTACTTATTAAGACTGTGTCATTACTATTGTTTAAAAACCTGTACAAATAAGAGAACCCAGCCTAATGGACTAGAATCAGAGGAAACCTGGATTTAAAACCAGGCTCTGCCACTTCCTGACCTGGAGCCCTTTGGCAAGGTCACCTCTCAAAGTCTCCACTTACACATCTATAAAACAGGATTGTAGATACCTGCCTCACAGGGGTGTTGTGAGAAACACATGTAATGACACCTCATGTAAAATCCTTTTATGATATAAAGCCCTCTACAGCTACTATCACTGCCATTAACTGTACCCCCGGTCTCTAACCCACAGTGAGGCTGTGCAAGTCCCAGGCTGAGAACTGCCCTTGAAGGTAGACAAAGCCTTTTTTTATTTTTTCCCAAGCCAGAGGGCAGTTGCTCTCTCTTACCTGTAGCTGAGGGAGTCTGGTGGTAGCTGGGATGCTGAATGAGCAAGGACAGTCTGCAGGAAACCCCTAGGAAGCTTGGGGCAGAAGGATGGGGTCCAGCAGTCAGAGCCCGGGTGTCTGGTGTCAGATTGCTGGGAAGATGGTGAGGATGTTGTGCCACTGTCCAGGGCAGAATCCTCCCCAAGCTGTCTGGCAAACCTTGAGGCCCAGGAGCTGCTTTTATACTTTTCCACCAGCAATCAATTACTGTCACGAAGGCCAAAAATAGCCGCTCAGGAAGGCTCTCAGAGGAAAACAGCTTGGAGGGTGGGGCCTGGCCCAGCTGCCAGCCTGAAGCAAGTGTTTGTGCCTGTGGGAGGCACAGGAAATGTTTACTCTGCAGGGAGGGGTAGGGGTGAGCATAACTCCTGGTCACCTCAGGTCCAGGCCACTGGGAGAGATAAGGGTCTCCACAGGGCTCCCAGAGGGAGCCCTAGGGTCTGCCACCATCACCTAGAAGCGTTCCCCACCAGCACTCTGCAACCCAAGCAAGGCACTCAGCCTAGTGCTAGTTCTGGCAGAGAGCACTGGGCAGACAACTGCGAGGAAGCCTCACCAGACACGGCAATGCAGGGCTCCGCCTGGAGATGGCTTAGACCAAGCTCCTTGGGCCTGCTCCAAGGTGAGACATGCCCACCTTGGTGTTAGACCAATAGCAGTGTGCAGGGTCCTGGTTTTGCTACTTCCCAGATGTGATGCTTTTAATGAGAACTTGTTTTTTCCTTGTTCCCAGGTATCTATCTAGTTCAAGCTTCTGTGCACAGTAACTGCCCAAGGTACAGGGAGCATAGCAGTGAACAAAGTAACTGCATCTTAGAGCTTTCCTTCTAGTAAGGGAGACAATCAGGTGCCCAGTGGATAGGTGCTGTCATTTCGTGTACTAATAATAGCTGCAAAGAGAAGTACAGCTGCTGCTGTGGCAGAGTGGTCTAAGAGGGAACACTGAGTAGAGATCAGAATAGATGGGGGTTTTGTGATCCCAGCGGATGGGGCAGTATGTGCAAAGCCCCTGTGAAGGAAGTGTGCTGGATGTGCTCAGGAGACAGCAAAGGACCTGCACGACTGACCCATGTGGTAGGAAATCTTTGGACCTTGGTATGGACACTGGATTTCCTTTTGAGGCGATGGAGGGACACTGCAGGGTTTGAAGAAGGATGCAACAGTTTTGGCTTCTGCTTTGAAGGACTGACTTAGCTGCTATGCATGGGCTAAAGGGGCAGCTAACAAGGAGACCAGGGAGTACCTGGGCAGTGTTAAAAGCCACATGTTTCTGGGGTGATCATGCCAGCACAGGAGGCAGCTGAGGACCAGGTGGGTGACTTTTGGTAAAGAACTGCACCATGTACTTCTCAGGCTTCAGATCTGCTTCTCAGCCATGGGCCCATGTGGAACCCACCTGTCTTGTACCTGCAGGTAGGGGACAGAAAAGTCACTGAGACAGCAGCTTAAGCCTGAGGTCTGATTGTTGGACAGACCCCAGACTCCCAAGGCAAGCAGGAGGGGCTGGCAAACCCAAGTTCTTGCACTATGGATGGAGTATTCCTGATGGGCAAAGGCATGGAAAGACGTCGAGGGGTGGGATGCGAGGTTATCAAGATTTCCGTTAGATATGGCAATTCCCACCTTGAAGCTCTTCTATCTGGATGCTTCTATAGGGCCTTGTTTCTCAAGCTCTCTTCTAATTCATTAGCAATTAGTAAATTAGCTAATAGTCTGAACTGTGGAGGGAATTATTGACTGGGGCACAGAATTAAAGGGCCCAGAATGACTTCCCAGTCTATTGAAATTTGAGACTCTGGGACCTGGATTCTGGTCCCTCCATGGGCAATGTACTTTCCACCTATGTGTTGAGGTCTGTCCAACAGCTAGGAGGTCCCTCTGCTCTGGCCTTGGGCTTCTGATTTGTTTAGAGATAGCTGCAGGCTGATAGGGCCACCCCTCCATTCTCATGGGACCAGCTAAAGGGTGATGGAATAGTGAGAAAGGTCTAGTTGAGGGCATAAATGCTGCCTTCTCATGGACACCAGACCTGAGTCATATTGGGCCAGACAGTCCCCAACACAGCTAATCTCTGACCTCAGAAGCAGCAGCTTTGCCTCAGCCCCTCGCTCCCAGTCCCAGAGAAATTCTTCCTGCCTTCTCCTCCACTGCAAAGTCCTAGAGGCTTCCTACAGTGTCTTTGAAGGCCTGGCCTCAGTGTGTCCAGCCACATTGCCCCTGCCCTATCTATGCCCTTTTCTCCTCCTCCTGGAGTACCTAATGGTCTCCTGAGCCCCCTCACAGCCACAGCCACATCTGCTTATCTCTCCACCCAGGGTTCTGCGTGGGGCTGGTGTGTCTCCACGTGAACATTACAAAATGTTCCAGGGGAAGCAGGGCCTCTCTCCAGCAGCGGTTGACATCTGACAGAGGCATCTGAAGCCAAGGCAGAAAACAAAGAACTGAACTCATCCTTGGGTTTTCTTACTATTCTTATGGGACCTTTAGCCCCTGTGAATCAATTTAGCTTTTCCTTTACAGGGAGGATTAGTTACATATCTGTGCCTGTACAACATCAGTGGTTATTAAAAATAGCTCTGTTTTGTTGTTGTTTATTTTCTTTTTTAGCAAATCATGTAAGGCAATTCCAAAAACTATGTGTATTTTTTATAACATCGAACAGAGTAGAACTATTTTCTCTGGATGGCAGGGTGTTTTAAACTATTACTAAGTAACCATAAAATTGACGCTGCCAGAACACCTTTGGAAGTGCTGCCACAGATGTGAAATTCTCCACAAGGTCTCTATTCCCACAGGGCTTTGACGAAAAAAAATGGAATTCGTGAATATAAAACGGGGCTTGAAATAGCAATGGGAGAATGGTGTTTAATGTTAACTCCCAGAAGACTAGTACTAAAGCAGATTAGGAGCGGGTAGCTTGGAGGACCATGCTTTTGGGGAAGGGTGAGGCTGAGAAGGTTTCTGGTAGATGCTCTGAGGATGCAAACAAAGCAGCCTGTCTGGGCATACATATGAGAGTGATTGGCCTGGGCGCAGAGAGCCTGGAGGTGGACACACAGATAGAAACCTAAAATAGGTCAAAGAAACAGAATCAAGGGCCTGAGGGGTGCGAGTAGGAGCTGGCTGAGGTGCCTCTCGAGGATTTGGTCATTAAGACCTCAGAGTTTGGTGGCAAGGGAATAACTGTGCCATCTGCAGATGTAATCAAGGATGGTTGGACATGGATGAGAGCTGTTGTAGATATTCTGAGTGTGTGTGCCCATGTGGGATGGGCTGGCCACATCCCAAGTGGTGAGAAAAGCAAGACTGGCTTTCAGGAAAGAAACCAACTTGAAAATATGAGAGTGGGTTCAGCCCACTAAGGGGAACAGTATGGGGAGAAGGGTGAGGCTGAGATGCAGCTCCAAGGAGCTACCGCCTCTGCTCTGATGGGCATGGAATCCAGCACCCTCAGCATGTGCCCAGTAGGACCTGGTGACCATGAGACCCCGACCCAGGAACGATGTGGGCAGAGAAGCACCCCATGTTGTCCTGGTATTGGTGCAGCCATGCTTGCCTAGACCATGTTGCCTCGCCGCTGTGTGGACGAGCTTGCCAGACAGCAGCTGGGTTCCCGTAAGACACTTGACTCAGCAGCTCTATCTTCAGCTATGTCCCTGGCTAGGCATGGGCTGAGCAGTAGAAGGACATGCCTCTGGCTTCCCCTGCTTGGGCCTATGGCCTCGAGTCTTGGAGCATGTAGAAGTTCATGGGTTTTCCCCCACGGGAAGACAGAACCCCAAGGAGGAGAGTTTGCATTTGGGGACTCGATTGTCTGAGGAGTCCGATGTTCAAGAAACTAGGCCCTAAGATAGCTCAGGGAGGGTTGTCAGTAACTGCTAAGAGAGGCTGCTCGGGGAAGAGGCTGACCTATGTGGGTCCCCACAGGAAGAAGGAGCTCTGATCATCGAGGGACTCCTCAACATTGCCTGGGGACTGAGGAGGCCTATCAGGCTCCAGATGCAGGATGATAGGGAGCGAGTGCATCTCTCCACAGCCTCCTGGATGCCCGGACGGCCCAGCTGTCACTCGTGAGTGCTGGGTTGGGTGGGGCGAAGCCAGGTTGCCTCCATGGCACCTGTTCAACCTGAGCTTTTTGTTTGGGGTTTTGAAAGGGGGGTTCTTCAGCCTCAGAGCAAAAACCCTGCTCCTGTATGAAGCACATGCATGGGAGCATAACCTAGCCTCATTCTTGCCACCTCATGACTCCCTCAGCCCACAGCCTCACCTGCCAATTTGCAGCCTCACCACAGGGTGGTCTTTCCAGATGACAACCAAATCACTTCCCTCCTGGAGAATTTCCCAGGATCCCAACCTCCAGTTGTGTTTCTCGAACATTCATATGAGCCACCTATGTAAGAAGAGAAGGCTGTAGACAGGGGAGGTCTCTCTGTAAAATGAACATTTCTCAGCATCTCTATTCCACCTTAAAAATGCTCATGGATTAAGCCCTACTGCTCTGCATTTATTTTAATATCAAATTTATTTTATTATCACAAGATTATTTCAATCAGCATAAAATGGTTCCCTGTCTTATTTAATGTTTGCCCCCTCCTGCCCCCAACCCCAATAAAGGACACTGAGCCACTGAGTTTTATTTACTTCTACATGTAATAAATTCTTCTATGTAGCAGAAGTTCAAAACTTTTTCCTCTTCAAGTAGTCAAGCAAAGTTGCTGCTCTGAGGACCTTTAACACTAGGTGCCTCCCCAGGTGTCCCTGGTCACTGGTCGTGAATTTTGAGCCACATGGGCTTAAAGCATAAAGTTCATTCAGATGGGCTTCTTAGAAAGGCTGCAGCTGTGATTTGTTTCCCACTCCCTAGAGTTAAAGTGGTCATACATGTAGTCACAGACAGCAGTACCTTCAGAGGCCTCTCAGCATGGATTCGGCTATTCTGTCTGTCCCTCCTCTGCTCCCTTGGACTATGGAACTAATTCCCATTAATCCAATTCCTTCTTTAGCCTGGAGGCCCAGAAGTTGGTCCCCTCAAGGTGGCCACTGTCTGGCTCTCCTCCAGGCCTGAGGGCTTCCAGAGCCCACTCGGCATGAGGCCATAGACACTGGCTTGCCTCAGCCTGGTGCTCAGGCACACACAGGCATTGTTGTGTCCATATGTCCTTGCAACGTGGCCAAGTACAGACCACTCAGGTCTACAGGGCTGGCTCCCTCACCTTCCAGCAGAAATTGTGGTGATCTGTGCTTTTCTTTTAGTATTTTACATTGACTCTCTTGGTGTGAAATCCCAGCCTCAACTCAGCCTGCCCTGCTTCTCACCAGTGTCCTGTCCACAGGGGCAGCTGGCCTCTTCTCTTTGGCCTGAGCTACTTTTGTCTGCCAGTAGCCTTCTGAGCATTATGATTATCTCTTTTCAGAAGGGAGCAACCTCTTCAGGATGGCAGTGTAACTGCCCTGGAGCCGAACATTCAGTCCACCAAGCACAGGGCTGAGAGTTCCAGAGACAGCTCAGGTAAGCAGCATTCTGAGCTGCCCTGGACCCTGTCTCACTCATCCCGGATAGGAGAGGAGGGGCTTGGCTCATGACCACCATCTCTGAAGAACAGCCCTGTGGAGTGGCGTCATTTGTCTTCAGGAGCAATACGAAGCATTCTCACTGACCCCTCACTTACAGAAAAGGAAACAGAGGCTTGCAGAGGTGACATAGATTGTTAGTGGGCTGGGTCTACTGCACCATGCTGTGTTACAGAAAGGGAGGAATGTCAGCAGAGAGTGTAGAGCCCTCCTAATCTCAGAGGCCTCCAGGACCTCTTTCTTACTCTCTGGAATTCATAACTGTTTGTCTTCATTGTGTCCTCCCCTCACACTCAGTGAAGGACCTGTCCCAGAGTGGATGCTCACAGGACAGAGCTGAGCTGCCAAAGATCTGCTCTAGGTGCCTGAAGTTGGAGGTTCTCAGGCTTAGGGTAGCGTGATATGGTAACACAGATAATCATATGTTGGTGTCACCTTTCCTCTCTTCAAACTAGGCATCACCCAAGCTGGACCTAGCCTTTGTCACAGAAAAAGCATTCATATTATTATCTGCTGCAGTGGGGTGCTACCACAGGACTCTAGAGAGCCAGCCCCAAACACAGCACAACTGCTGGAGCATGGCAGTTCTCTGTCACCATCACTCCACCTGGACTTGCCCTTCTCATCCATTTCTCACTGCAGAGGCCCTGGAGGAGGATGAGGGGACCCCACAGCTGATGCGGACCAAGAGTGATGCAGCATGTGAGATCCAGAGGAGGCCCAGGTGCCGCACACCCAGCGAGGCCCAGAGAGTCCGGCGACACCGGTTCTCCATCAATGGGCACTTTTATGATCACAAGGTGATGTCCCAGCCTTGCCTCACACCTGGGCCCTAAAGCTGAGGCTGCAGGGAACCAGCCCCGAGCATGGGCACAGCAATTGGGTCTTCTTCAGGACAGGCCCCATGATAGCGGAGTCAAGAGTTCACCCTCAGCACAGCCCTGTGTACAGGTGTGGTCATCCCCATGTCCTCATAGAGAAAGGGAGCTCAGGGGGAAAAACATCTTGCCCAAAGTCACATCAAAATAATATTCTAGTTTACAACCTGAAAGCCTATATTTTTTCTATCACAGAGTGACTGTTAACCCATTCTCATAAGTTATGTGGATTCTTGGTGAGTCTATCTTTAGTCAATGTCTTGTTTATCTTTAGTTAGACAATTGCCTATGAGGTTTTCACCTGAGCTCAGCTGGAAATTTCATGGGAATACCACATACACCACTGGCATCTTTCCTGGGTAGACTGAGCCCAGTAGGTGAAGGTGTGCCCAGGGGCATGTGTTTCTGCATCCAGAGAACCTTAACTGCTCCTGATTCCCAGCACTTGGCCTTTTGTCCAAGTATGCACTGTACTGACCTCAGGAAAAGATCTCCTTCCCCAGATGACATCATTCCATAAACAAACTGAACTGTAAAAGGACCATTTGTTCCTTACTATAAATGTCAGGAGTGGCAGTTTGAGTGCAGCCCTGGATGGAGTGTCCTGTGACAGGGTCATATCCTATAGGGCTGAGAAAGGGAAGCAGAGGCTTACCGTTCCAGCAGCAGCCCTTCTTGACAGGCGGTGGCTAATCAGAGGGGGAAGGAGGTCTCTAAGTCAGACTTGAAGAACGGTAGCACAGATGAGGCCTGCCAGGAGCATTCCAGCCACTCCTGGCGTGCCCTGGACTTCAGGGTGTACATGAAAAGTTGATGAGACCCAGCTTTATTATGAGGACCTCCCAGCCACTCCCTGCTGGATTTGCAGTGAGTGTTGATGAGTGGCAACAGGTCATCTTTGCTCAGTCCAGGAAAACCCAGGACTATTTGAGATTAGTTTTCCAAAAGAATAAAGGAGTAGCCAGGCCCAAAGTTGAGCACAAGTTAAGAATAGCAATAGGATTGTATGTAGTAAATCCTTCTGAGAATTTGGGTGTTCTTTAAATCTTGTTCCAAAGGGGTTTAGTCTGTAAAGTGTTAAGTAAGCACCTGTTAAGCATTAAATAAGTCTGTTGAGTGTTAAGTATTTGAATACATAGTGATATGCTATCTTAAGGTGTTATTCTAAAATTTAAAAATATATATATAGGTTTAGGATCATTCTGGTTCTACGTTCCTAAAAAGAGGCTTTTGCTCTATGACTCAAGGTATTGAACAGCATGGTTTATCTTTGGTATGTTTACCCCTCCTCTAAGAGAATCATATCTGAGAGGTGTATCTAGCACATTAAACCTTATTTTAACCATTATAGATGTCGCAGGGCCATGAAGATGTCTGAGTGCTCTGTAGCCTTTGAAATGCACAAAAATGAGTAGGCAGGACTCTCATCATAGTCTTCCATGTCCATTGGAGCCACCATGCCAAGAAGGGCTCTTCAGCCAGCCAACCCAGCACTCAACACACTAGCATATAACCCAGTCAGGATGGCTAGCTTTCTCTCTTAGTAACAGATTTACCTGCAGAATGTGGTTCTGTTATTCCAGGCAAACTGACTACCTTTCAGGTAGTCAATGAACTAGTATCTTAGGTATGTTGGACAATTAATTCATAACTCCTGGGTGAGTAAGGGGCTCCCAAGGAGAAAGCCCAGACAAAGTCCTCTTTCTCACTTTGCTCTACATCCATTCAGAATTAGTGTTCTTAGAAATCAGGTGGCAGTTGGTATTTGAGTCACAGGCAACACTTTTTCTTTTTTTTTTTTTTAATTCCTATAATTGACTTCATGGGGTTGTTATTCCAGGCTTTATTTCTTAGATTATTATTTTACTCAATCATTTACCAAAGCTGTTCTGATTCACAATAATGTTGGCTTTATTTCCAGACTGTGTAAATGTGTACCCTTCCCCCTGCTTTGCGCTGGCCTGTCAGATTCAAATGCATTTGATGAGAAAGCATTGTGTTTAGAGATGGGAAAGCAGCCCCAGGACTTTAGTTCCCATTTGGAGCTGGTTGGAATCATCCTGAGAAAAGGCTTCAGGCAGAAGAAACACTAGCAATGTCTTGGTGACAAGACCTTTCTTCTCCTTGAAATGGCCTGGCTCCTCTATGAATTCTGTATTTACTAGGATCTGAAAGCCTAGTCTGGCTTTTTGTATAACCCAGAGTCATTCTACATCTCAGCTGTGTAGAGAGCAGGTCCAGATTTGAGTGTGGTTCTGGTACTTGGGGACCAGCTGGGGACACTGAGCAAGTCTTTCATGCACCCCAGGTCCCAGTTACCTACTGAGGCGAGCAAGCTAGGGCCATACAGAAGGATATGGAAATTTGAATTTGGTTTTGGAAAGCAAAGAGGAGCTCACCCACAGCGGAGTCAGATACACAGGGAGGCCCCAGAGGCACTGGGGGAAATCATGGGGCTTTGAATGGCTCTGCCCTTTCTATGGGAGACTCCAACAAGTTACTTAACTTCTCTAAGCCTCCATGTCTTCTCTAAGAAAAGGGACAAGTGACAGGTACTTCAAAGAGCCATTGTGAAGATCAAGTCAAAGATGATATGTTAAGTGGTTAGTAGGTTTACTGCCTGACCAGTGTTCATTGAGCTTCAGGCAGTGCCCTGGTTTGCTTCATATACATTGTCTCATAGACAAAGGTGATACCTGCAAGAATATAATGTAACCCTACACTGTGAAGAAGCCATGTGGGTGGAGCACAGGGTGCATAGGAGGGAATCATCATATCACACGAGTATAATAGAGGAGCCACGATGGCATTGTGTAGGCAGTGGGAAACCTTCAATACTTTTACCTAGAACGGTACTTTAAGACAATGCTTTTCAAATTGTACTGTACACATTTCATTGCCTGGCTTTCTCCTCAAAATGCAGGTTCTGATTCAGAGGGCCTGAGGCTGGACACTAATGCTGCTGGTCCAGAACACACTTTGATTTGCAAGGTTTTCAGAAGGTTGTTCCTTTGGGCAGCAGTGTGGTGAACAGATTGAAAGGGCTGAGCTTGGAGGAGGAAAAGTTGAGAAACCGTTTTTGAATTGAGGACCTTTACTCAGGCACCACTGAGAGAATGCAGAGGAGTAAACAGATTTGAGAACTTTCAGCCTTAGAGTCAACAGGCTCTTGGTGATTTGATGGATACAAAGAGTGAGGGAGAGACTTGTTCCCCTCCATCCCTGTGAATTACTTCCACAGCACTGGTTCCTAAGCTCAGAGAGCTGACCCTTAGAGCTTAGCAGGCATCTTTTTTACAGTCAGTTCTCAGTAAGATGTGAGATGTTGTAGCTACCCCTAGTATGCCCAGATCTGTGCATGGCTTGTATGTGGATCTGTGTGAATGGACAGACACAGGTATTTCTAGAGCCCAGGTTTGCCTACTGCTTTGATTTCCTCAGTGCCATCTAGTTGGTAGTGTGCCCAGCCCCTGCACGATGTCAGCTCTGTGCCCCCTCCAGCCTTGCCTTGAACTGTCCCTCTCCCTGTGCAGACCTCCGTGTTTACCCCTGCATATGGATCCGTTACCAACGTGAGGGTCAACAGCACCATGACTACCCTTCAGGTGCTTACCCTGCTGCTGAACAAGTTCCGAGTAAGTCTGTCCACGAGCAACATTGTCCCTATGATGGTGGTTTGCGGTTTTGTTGGGACGGGGTGGGGAAAGGCTGGGGGAAGCTGCCCCAGGCACCTGGGTAGAAGGTCTAGCAAGGTTTCCTCTGATGAGCTAGAATCTCTGGGATTTGAAATAGAGACTGATAGGGAGTTGGAGGGGGAAGGCTTGGGAACTCGAGTCTGTGGCACTGGGGAGTGGTTACTGCCAGGGATTGCTTTCTTTCTCTCTTGTCTCAAAAAGCCACGGTCTGACTTCCTGTCTCTGCTGCAGGTGGAAAATGGCCCCAGTGAGTTTGCACTCTATGTCGTACATGAGTCTGGGGGTAAGTGTCTGCCTGTGCCTCTAGAGCATAAAAACAAAAGACCATCAGTTTGGCAGGCTCACCATTCATGTTCCTTCTCTGAAGGACATGCCGGCTTGTGAGGCAGGCACAGAGCAGCTCGCGCTCTTGGCCTTGGAACCTGCTGTGCCCCCACCACAAATGCCTCTCCTCAGCCCAAACCCAGGCACACTTGTCATCCATTTCAGAATCCCACCACAAGCACATGGGAAGCCACCATCTCCAGCTTCATAGCTGGGAGGGGTAGAGGGGGGTTGAAGTCTACAAGGTGGAGTTGAAGCCCCTCACCCACTGAGAAGTGCTGTTGCAGAACCTGTACGTCCTTCTCTGCAGCACTTGCGTGGCAGAGTCTGGTGACTGCTCCTCTCCCGGCTGGGCTTTTGCCGAATGACATGAACTCATCATTCATGGCAATGTTCTCAGCGAGTTCTGGAGAAGGTTCACTGGGGCCCCTGGATATTGTCTTTCATGTTACTGTCCTGGAATAAACCTGGAATAAAGAAAGGCAATCCTAATGCTCCCAAGAATTTTGTAAACCACCTTTCCCCCCATCCCCAGAAAGGACAAAATTAAAAGACTGTGAGTACCCACTGATTTCCAGAATCCTGCACGGGCCATGTGAGAAGATCGCCAGAATATTCCTGATGGAGGCCGACTTGGGCGAGGAAGTTCCCCATGATGTGAGTAGGGGCTGAGGGTTCGTAGGCCTACTCCTGAGGTAGAGCTGGCTGACAGTATGGGGGATTCTCAGGCACCCCGAAGGTGACCTTGGCCAGAGACCTCTCAGGTGCTGTCTCCAGGGACAACACAGCTGTCTTAAAGGGCCCCAAGCCCAACATAGTGATGGCTCCAACCCTCCCTCTGCCTGCCAGCCACCACCAGCTCCATCAACTGGCTTAGAGGAAAAAGAAGTTGGGTTCTAGAAAATCATGACCTGTGCTTTTCTCCTCCTTGGCAGGTTGAACCTTTTCTTTCATTGCAGTGTGTTTTGTTGTCATTGTGTTAAAGACCCACACAAGGACTCCTTAATTAAGGCCTAACTAGGTCCTATAGAAGATAACCAGATATCTAAGTCTTACCACAGTCCCCTCACAGGAAAAATCCTGTAAGGTTTGGACCCCAAGGAGAAGGTCCAGTGACCCTATGTCCCATGGGCCAGTGCAATCTCATTCCATTAGAAACAATGGTGTTCCCACCACTCCCCACCTCCACCCCAGAGAACACCCAATGTGACCCTGCTCACTACTGAATGCTTTTCCTAATATTTCCTCCCAGGGATAATAGTTGCTTTTGAGGCAAGAATGAGCTTCATCTTCCTGTCCTGATACCCACAGAGCAGTGTTAGGGGTGGGTGGAAAGAGGGGCAGCTACTTCCATGGGTATAAGACATTGCTGAATTGGCCACTATGGAAAGCCATGACGAAAAGAAAACCTGTTTTTGGCTTTTAATTTAAAGCATATTAAAATGTTCTTGGATTTTCTAGGTCGCTCAGTACATTAAGTTTGAAATGCCGGTGCTGGACAGTTTTGTTGAAAAATTAAAAGAAGAGGAGGAAAGAGAAATAATCAAACTGACAATGAAGTAAGCAGCATTTAATGGGCCAGTCATGGGCCCTGACCATCAGGACAGGTCTGCAGGGTAGAGTACCCAGGTCAGGGACTGGGAGAGTTCTGTCCTCCAGGTGTGCCAGGTGTCCTTGTCCAGCTCAGGGAGGCCTGGCTTCCCAGCATGACCAGCTGGCCCCCAGCTTAGTATTGACACCAAGCTGGGGGACAGCCTGTCAAAGTGGCAGGATGCAGCCCAGACTGCCCATCCAGCCTTAGCCCTTCACCAGCACGGGATGGACACAGCTGCTGAAAACTAGGTAGTAAAGTCAGGCAGGAGCTTGAGTGGACACCAGACCAGGGTTGTGAGTTCTGCTGGTGACACAGCTCTGGAGTAGCACCTGAGGAGACGGCCTGCTTGGTACACAGTCAGCCTGGTCTGGGTTCTTTCGTGCTAGTAGGAATCTGACCCTGCCAAAAAAGAGTGGTTGTTGGAACTCCCTGCATCAGCTGATATTTTCAAGTGCAAGGGACCAGTTCAATGGAAAGGTGAGCAGGTGTCACCTGCCAGCTGCTGGAGAAGCTGCATCATGGCCCAGCTGTATGAGGTTAGCCAGGTTGCACATCTCAATGATTTATCTCTCCCTCTGCAGAGTGAAGCATGGAAAGGATACATGGAAGGTATCAGCTCAGCCAGGGCTGGGGTCAAAGTGTCTCTTAGGTAGGGAAGGAGGGAAGCCGTTTACTGCTAGGGCCCACAGTTGGGGACTAGCTCAGATTCTGGCTTCTAGCTGAATGATCCTTGGAAAGCCACAGCCCCACCCCATATCCCTCTGTACAGTCAGGCAGCAGAGACCCCATTCAGAGGGGACAGTCTGCCATACAGTCAGCAGCGTCACTGTAGGATTTTGGAGCTGGAAGGAACCTGGAGGTACCGGTCAGTCTGTTAAGGGTACAGAGAAGAAACAGAGACCCAGGATGAGGAAACTTGCAGCACAGGTTATTTCAAAGCCCAGGCTTGAATACAGGCCTCCTGATCCCTGCTCTTCACCCTACTCACTCCAGCATGCTCCTGTCTGTACTAGACAGTCTTTGGAATAGAAATGGCAACACTCGGCTTTGAAACATAGCAGAGTCTGCAGCCCTATTTGACTGCTTCTAGCAGCCAGTGATCCTGCAGGGTATGGGACTGGCTCTTCCCTCTTCCCTCTCGTTGGTGGAAGACAGGTGGTAGCACTAATCAGCCAGTCAAGAGCTGTGTGTCTCCTGGCCCAGGCATCTGTGGCTCCCTCACTCTGCTCCCCACTCCCTGTCCCCTGCAGAGTCAGTGAGTCTATTTGGCTGTATCTCCCTCCAGGTTCCAAACCCTGCGTCTGACAATGCTGCAGCGCCTGGAGCAGCTGGTAGAGGCCAAGTAGCCAGCCAGTGCCTGCTACTTCCAAAGCCACAAGCAGCCAGTGCATAATGAGTTTCGGTGGCCAGGCCCTGATTGGTCACACTGATTGATGGTCACTGCCTGAGGAATTCAGCAACCATGCTTCCACATGTCTACCTGTCTATGTACCATGAGTCTCATGCCCCTGGTTCTTGGCTCCAAGGTGAGCATTCACAGGACCCAGACACAGGCCTAAATAGTAGGAACTTGCTGGGTGAGGTCTGCATGAGCAGCTGGTCTGGGCAGTAAGCAGGCCTGAAGATGGCACCAGCCACATTCTGTGGCTGGATGGCATGGTCTGTCCTGTTCAAGGCCACGCTTCTGCTTGGAATAGCAGTACCTAACCAAGCCCCTGGGCATGGCCTCCATTTGCTTTCCCAGTGCCTGACTCAGAGCTCATGAAGGGCCACAGCTCGTTTCCTCATCATCCACATGAACCGCGAGAACCCTGTCTACCTTTACCTTGTGCTGCCATTCAAGAACTCTGCTAGGAAAAACAGGGGCTACCAGCAGGTATGGGATGTGTCCTGCTCCCAACCATCACTTCACCATGGTATCCCTGGTCCCTGGCCTTCACATCTCTGATGTCACCCCAAAAGCCTCACACAGCCCAGTGCCCCAGGTCCAGAAGTCATACAGGGAATAAGATTAAGGGCACCTCTTCTTCTCTCTGAGCACTAAGTCTGAACTTCCTCAGCAAGACCTGAGGAATTCTTATAAAGAACTTGCTGCAAAAACATGCCAATTTGATCACATGGAAGAAGTGGCCCACATGACATTGGAAGGATGACACCACACATAAGCAAGAGTCCAGGATCCAGGGACTGTTAAATAGTGGCTCGTGAAGGCAGTACTCGGTTCCCATCTCCACTGTCCCTCTCTGGGCTTGTGTCCCTCTGCTCTCAATGCTTCCCACAAGAAAGGGGTTGGATAAAGAGAAATGTCAGTTTGAGGAGAAAGGGCTTTGAATTCCCTGGGGCCAGATACTGAATTATTTGGATTTGTCATCTGGGAGAGAATTTCTGGAATGAACAAGAGGGCTTTTGCAAAACTATGCAACAGTTTACATCAGTCATGTTAAGTGTCAGCAAGCTGAAGACCAAATTCTCCCTCTGGGGCCTGCGGATGGCAGCCTTAAAGGAAAGAACCATAAAGACTCCCAAATATAGGTGAGAATTCATCTCCCTTTCATGCAATGGATCCTCACCAGTGCACATAAAGAGCAGAGCTTGGGAGCAGCCATGCCATGCAGACCCACTTTTGGGGGTGAACTTCACACCAGGATGTTCCCCCATAGCTTCATGGTCACAGAGGCACCCAGAAAGGTGCCCAGGGTGACCCACTGCAGTTTCTGTTGACTGCTCTCCTTTAGCAGCAGTTTCCTAGGTGCTCAATAAAGGTGTACTGTACCAAACCAAAGGAGTCAAGACCAAGCTTTCTTTTTGCTTATGTGTGTCCACCCTGACCCCCTGCCCTAACTTCTGAAACTCTTATCCTATGGTGTGTGTGGCCGAGTTTGGCAAAAGAGCCCCAGAGCTTTTGATGCCAACATGACTCTTATTTCCATGCATACCCTGGGTATTGATGTGGAGCCCGAGAACAGAGGTGGCCACAGGTCACAGAGGAGGAGTCGTTGGTGAGGGTCTGTGGGTGGCCTGGGCAAAGATTAATAGGATCACCCAAAATCACAGACTCTCAGGATCAGGATGACCTCAGGGATCTTCTAGACAGAGGCTCAGGTGGGATGGCAGCAAGGCCCAGGAGAGGATGGAAAACAAATAGGATCCCTTGGGTCATTTTACTCCCCAGCCCATATTTCCAGCTTCAGGTCTAAGACAGCAGCCATTCATTGTTCAGCAGTAATTGAGTGACTGCCTTGTGCCAGGTTCTACTTAGCCCTGGAGGGACGAAGACAGCCACAGTCCACCCCAGATTCAGAGGTCTCCTCATCAGGAGAAGCAGGCTAGATGCCTGGCAGGTCAGAGGACCAGCAGAGCAGAGAGCCAGTAGAAGTCCCTGGAGAGACACCTGAGCTCAAGTGCTTAAGACAGTGTGTGTGGCATTCCAGCCCAGGAGACACTTGCCAGCCCAGGAGCAGGACAGAGCATGGCACACAGGAAACCATGGGATCAGGAGCTTCTCTATAAGCACTCACTGGTTTTGGGTTTTTTGGAAAGTGGAGGTTTGAGGGGGTTTTTTTGTTGTTGTTTTGTTGTGTTTTGTTTTTGCAGTTGTTACAATATTATATAATTTAAGGCCTGTCTAGATAAGTGTCAGTGTTAAAATAGACATTATCAAAACTAACTTTTGAATAGCATAGCTAAAATAAATCACTAGCACAGAAAAAAAGAAAAATGCAGGACAGAGGAAAATGTACACTTCTACAATCATCTCTAAAGATCAGTCCATCTTTATCAATGCTATATTTGCTTTTCGGGGGCAACTTGAAAAGCTGCTTAATTCAGCTCACTGTGATCCAACAATTTCAGACTTTCTCTGCTGGGCTCTGTGGTTTCCTGCTGGTTTATGTCAGAGCTCCATGTTCCTCTTTCCACAGGCCTAATAGTATATTCAGATGCTCCTTCACTAACTAGTATCTCAGGTTGTAAATGTATCCAAAGACAAATGAAGAGTCCTGTGAGAGAATGTCATCTCCTAAAACAGGACTGTCTTTCCAGGCCAAGGCTCAGGAACCAGAGAAAATAATAAACAGAGGATGAAATCAACATGATTGCAAAAGAAAAACTGGACTCAGGAAAACAGGGTGGTTTGGCCAGAACAAATTACCAGAAGGAATAAAAAAACAACTTGTTTTTCTTGTGGTGACAACCGTGACAACCATATGCCACCTGCTTGGGATGTTTACCAGAAAATGAATTAAAGACCTTCCCATGGTCAAAATAAAGTCATGTGTTCACCCAGGATACATCTGGCCCCTTAGTCCCAGGGAAACAACTTGGGACTTATCCAGTCTGATGGGGTAATTTGTTCAGGAGCCTGCAATGCCCAATGTTCCCAATGTGGACCGGACAGAGGCATCCTGCAGCTGCAGAGCAGGAGCAAGAAATCCTCGTCAGGTGCCCTGGTGGGCAGCAGCCCCCCTGCCCCTCAGTCCCTCACCATGATCAGGCAGGAAGCACAGTCAGAGCCAAATTGTTCCAAGTGTAAAAACAGCTAAACACACATGGTGTATTTAGACCCCAGGAGTTATGATCGTCTGGGAGAAAGCCAACTACTGACCTGCCCCTGGACTCACGGCGTTTGGGGTGGGGCTCCACTCTTTTCTGGCTGGGCTTTTAACAGAGATGTTTTCTGCAAACCAAAGAATGGGAATTCCCAGAGTTTTCTTTCCCAGAGAACTCAAAGGAAACAAAGCAAAGCCTTAGGCTTGGTGGACAGAATTGTTCAGGGTCCCTTCTCAGAAGCTGCACCACTCTTGTTACTGCACTTGGGCCACACATGTGACCAGCATCCTTCCCGTTGCTGCCAAATGCAGACCCAAGGCAGCAGCACTCCCTGTTGAGACAATGCTTTTCTGTGTGAGTGTTGTATGGGTGTTCATGCAAGTGTATGCATGTGCATGTGCATGCAAAGAAGTGGAGATGTAGGGGACAAAGACAGAGTAAAAGGAAGCTGTCTTGCCAGGACTTTTCTCAGCCCAGAAGCCTCTTCTTCCTAGAATGAGCCCTTCAAATACCACAATGCTAACGGGCACACTGCTGGGTGCCATTTGCAGAGAAGCCCTAGATATTAAATGTTCTGGTCTCTAGACCCAGTTTCCCTAGAAAGATGTACTGTTAAGAGGAGGTGGTGGCATAGACTCTTAGCTTCCCTGACTGTCAATCCCTCCCACTCTCTCCCCCTTTCTCCTTTGTGCTTCTTAAATGTCATGTGTGCCCATTTTTGATAATTTAATTTGTTTAAAAATAACCTGGGACCCCATTTGAGAGATACTATTATGTAGAGGTTGAAAGCATAGGCTCTGGAGCCAGTCTGTCTGGTTCTGAAGCCTGGCTCTGCCACTTACAAATGTGTGACCTTAGGCAAGTTACTTGCCTCAATTTTCTTATCTATAAAATGAGGATAATAAAAGTTCCTATCTTTTAAGGTTGTGGGAAGTATATTAGTCAGTTTTGCTGTAGTAACAAATAACACCAAAAATCTCAGTGGCTACAACCAAAACATTTATTTCTCTCACATGTTACATAGGTGACCACAGGTCACATATGACCACAGGTGGGCATATGTGTCTCTGCTCCATGTGTCTTCTCTCCTGTGTCCTAGATTGCATGAAGGAACAGCCCGTACGTGGGGCACAGTATTCTCAAGGCAGAGGGAAAGAACAGAATGGTAGCAGAAACAGTGATTCAGAGCTGCTTCTGGGACGTGATATACTTTGTGTCCACTCACATGCAGTTGGCCAATGCTAGTCACATGTAAAGTCAACATCAGTAGGATGGGATTTTGTTCACTAAGAGGCACTGAAAGTCATAGAGCAATAGGCAGGAATGTAAAATCCAAGAAGGGCAGAGCAAATCATACCATGAGAATACTGAATGAGGTACTACAAGTGTTCCACACCAGTGCCTGGCACATAATAAGCACTTAGTTAAGTGTTGACTATTATACTATTAAAGAGCATAAAACCCTGACTGTTTTCTCTCCCTCTCTTTCTCCTTTTCCCCTTTATTCTTCCTCCTTCTCCTCCCCACCTAATATCCTTGTCTGTCTCTTGCCTCTCTCCATCCTTACCTCCTACTCTGTCAACTCTTGGCCATGCACACCCTTTTATATCCTGACTTTTATCTCTCTCTTTTTAAAAATTCATTTTTCTTTACCCAATCTCTACCTTTCTAATCTACACATCTTTGGACCTTCTGTAGTTGGCCCAATTGTTTTCAGGTACAAGAAAAAGGGATAATCTACTATTAAGTGAGACATGGAAAGAGTTAGTTTTAATTAATGACTATCTCACTAATAAAATGTTTTTGAATAAGTTTTGTCTTATTATTTTAATGTACATAGAGCAAATAGTCTTAGAAATTCATTTTGCTCTTGAAACTGTTCCCAAACAATCTCTGGCCATTGCCTCCTAGCCCCTTCCCCTCCAACTACCAGCATCGTCAACTTGTAATAATAATTTAATAATGAAAGTAATAACAATGCCTCATATTTCTTGTGTGTTATGCATTGTATTAAGTGCCTTACATTATCTTATTTAATCTTTACAACAGTTTAGCTATTATTTAGATTATTGAGTTGGCATTCCTTGTACAGATCTTAGTCTCATGCTTTGTCACCTGCAGAACAGAAAGCTTGAGCTTCAGTTAGTTTGGCCTCTGCCATCAACTTGCTGTGTTACTTCAAGCAAGTTTCCCTCCCTCAGCCTCATTTTATTGATCTGCAAGACAGATATAATGATCCCTCCATCATGAGACTATAGTAAAGATGAATGACCAGAGAATAGATATAAAAGGACATTGTGAACAATGAGGCATCTTATAAATTCATTCATTGACCAAATACTTGCCGAGTGCCTGCTACCTGTTGAGCACTATCTTTAGCACTGCAGACACAACAAAGAACAAGAAATAGATCATCAAAAATGGTGTAGATGATAGTGGCTTTGTTCATTTGCTCTTGCAACCACATACAAGTTGTGATGGAAACATGCAGCAAAGAGCAAGCAGAGTCACCTGGGTTCTAGATGAATAAGCTCTACAACTGGAGAGAGAAATAAGAAATCACCCTGCAAGGGTAGGAGGTAGGAGGAGGTGAAGACACGAGGCTGACCAGTCTGGATTGACTGACTGGGACAAAGGCTACAGCAGTGGTAGCCAGCAGCTGCAGAAGCCTCTTAAAGGGGCCATGTCGGCAACTGGACTTTGCAATGACAGACTCACTTACTCTGAGCACCAGCTCCCAGTTGGCTGTTGTGGGGTGGGGGTAGAAGCACCAGGGACTTACAGGGGGACACTGAGTTGTTAGAGCTAGGGCCAGAGGTGAGGATCTCTCCCAGGCAGAAGTGCTGGCAGTATCCATTGTTCATCTGTTGAGCCACCCGCCTTCCAGTGTGTGGGCACAGCACTGCCATTGCTGAGATGTCATCAAACTGGATAACAGACATTGCTCCACCCAGAGGATTCCCTGAAACTCTGCCTCCCCTAACTCACAGCCCCACCCAAGCCACGTCCTGTTGTGTCCTCTGTGAGCCCTGTGCAAGTTGCTGAGCAAGCTCCAAGGCCCACACTAGTGGCTGCTGACCTGGGTTTCTGGAGTGTCTTCTTGAGGCAACTATAAGCACAGCATCTGTGGATTGCTTGCTGAATCTTAACAGGTGACTCTGGAGGGACACAAGATGGGGCTGAAATTGGCCTGCTGCTGAATCCCTCTCAGGACTATATCACTGGACATTTACAACACAAAGCCACGCTAATAAGACCAGGATACTTAGGAGCTTTGCTTAGAAACAGATACAGAAGGACAGCCAAAATGGGAAGATAAAGAAGCAGAAACCATATAAGAGAACAGAAAAGAGATCCAGGAATAACGGAGCCAAGCAATCTAACAGATGCAGAGTTCAAAACACTGGTTATAAAGATGCTCAATAAACTTAAGGGAAGTGTAGATGAACTAAGTGAGAACTTTAACAAAGAGATTAAAAAAATGGAAATGGAAATTATAAAAAAGAACCAATTAGAAATGAAAAATACAATATCTGAGATGAAGAGTATATTAGAGGAAATTAACAGAGTGGATGAAGAAGAGGATTGAATCACTACTATAGAGGATGGGGAAACCAAGGACACCCAATCAGAACAGCAAGAAAAAAGAAACCAAGAATATAATAATAATTTAAGGAGTCTTTGGCATGAAATTACGTGTAAAAAAAATCTGTGTAATAGGTGTATCTGAAGGAGGAGAGGGAGAACAAAAAGTTGAAAAGCTATTTGAAGAAAAAAATGATGGAAAACTTCCCTAACCTGGTGAAGGAAATAGGCATACAACCCCAGGAAGCTCAGAGAGTCCCAAAAGAAAAGCGTCCCAACAGAAGATAAACCCAAAAAGGCCCACACTAAGACACATCATAATTCAAATGCCAAAAGGTTAAATACAAAGAGAGAATCTTAAAAGCAGCAAGAGAAAAGCAGTTAGTTACCTACAAAAGAGCACCCATTAGATTGGCAACTGATTTCTCAACAGAAACTTTGCAGGACAGAAGGACTTAGCACAAAATATTTGATGTGATGAAAACCTGGGATCTATAACCAAGACTACTTTATACAGCAAAGCTATCATTTAGAGTCAAGGACACAGATAAAGAGCTTCCCAGACAAAAATAAGCTAAAGAAATTCACCACCACCAAGCCACTATTACAGGAAATGTTGGAAGAACTTCTTTAAGAAGAAAAAACATGTACCAAAAACAGGAATAAAGAATGGTAATAATTACATATCTATCAATGAGTGCCTTGAATGGAAAAAAAATTAAGTGCTCTAACTAATGGGTAAGGTGGCAGAATGGATAAGAAAATAAGCCCCCTACATATGCTGCCTGCAAGAGGCTAACTTCAGATTAAAAAACACACACAGACTAAAAGGAAGGGGATGGAAAAAGATATTGCCTTCATGGATTGATGGACCTAGTTGGTATTGCACTGAATGAAGTAAGTCAGATAGAGAAAGACAAATACCACATGATTTCACATACATATGGCATCTAAAGAACAAAATAGACAACAATAACAACAAAAACAGAAACAAACTCATAGATACAGAGAATATTTTGAGGGCTACTAGACAGGAGGGGGAGTTTGGGGAGATGGTGTAAAAGGGCAAAGGGATTAAGAAATACAAATGGATAGTTACAAAATAGTCATGAAGATATAAAGTATAGCATAAGGAAAATAGTCAATGATGCTGTAATAAATATGTAAGAGGGAAGAGGAGTCCTAGATTTAATAGGGTGATCACTTGAGCTCAAATCGCTATGCTGTACAACTGAAACTGATATATTATTGTATGCCATTTATAATTGAAAAAACTCATTGAATTGTGCAACGTAGATATGAGCAACTAATTGTCTGTTATATTTCAATAAAGCTGGGGGGAAAAAAATAAGCCAGACAGAGAAAGACAAATACCATATGATCTCACTTATACGTGGAATCTAAAGAATAAAATAAACAAACTAAACAAAAACAGATTCATAAATATAGAAACGAAATGTTGATTCTCAGATGGGAGACGTATTGGGGGGCTGGATGAAAAAGGTGAAAGGATTAAGAAATACAAATGGATAGTTACAAAACAGTCACAAGGTTTGAAGTACAGCATAGGGAATATAGTCAATAATATTGTAATAACTATGTATAGTGCCAGGTGGATACTAGACTAGTTAGGGGGATCACTTCAGAAATTATGTAAATGTCTAACCACTATACTATATACCTGAAACTAATTAAAATAATATTGAATGTCAACTGTAACTGAAAAATCAAAAAATGGGTGGAGGTGAAGGGGAATAAGAGTTTCAAACTTTCAGGTATAAAACAAATAAGTCAGGGGGATGTAGAGTACATAGGTAATATATTCAATATATTCAATATTATTCAATAATATTGTGATAATATTAGATGATGTTAGATGGTTTCTAGACTTATGGTGATCAGTTCTTTAGGTATGAATGTTGAATAACTATGACGTGGACCTGAACCTAATGCAATATTGTATGTTAGCTATATTTTAATAAAAATCTTTAAAAAGAAAAAAGAAAGAAACAGATCATGATAGTTCTGTGTGCCACTGTGAGGCCAGGGCCTTTTGTTCTAATGATATAAAAAATCTATGAAGGTTTTGAACAAAATGAATGACTTGAGTTTTAAGAGGCTGTGAGTAGACTGTGGGGAGACCAGTGAGGAAGCCAATGCAACAATACAGGCAGCAGATGGCAGCAGCTTGCTGGAGGTTATAGCAGTGGAGGTGTTGAAAGTAGCTCAGCTCTGGATATATTTTGAAGATAGAAGTAACAGAATTGTGATGGATTGGATTTGAGTTTGGGATGAAAGAGAGTCAATAATGACATCAAGATATTTGGCCTGATCAACTGGAAAGATAGAGTTGTCATCAGTTGCTGGGATGAAGACTGTTAAAGAAACAAGTTAGGTGAACATCAGAAGTTCATTTGGGGGCACGTTAAGTTGATGTGCCCATCACACATGCAAATGGTGCTGAGTAATCAGCTGGATATAAAAGCTGGATATCAATAATATTTACATCTCAGGGTTGAACTGGAGTTACCAATTCGGAAGTCTTCAGCACATAAGGATGATATTTGAAGCCATGAGATTGGGGGAGTTCCACAGGGGAGTAAGGCACATAGAGGAGCTTGGCGAGGAGGAGGATCTTGCGAGAGAAGAGTACCAGGAAAGATCATTAACCCATTTCCTGTTTGCCCCAAGAATATTTATTTGCAGGTGGCCCTTGTGGCTGCAGCATTTACTCCGAGATAACTTGTAGATTAGAGTCCTAACCTTACCCCCAAAGTTTGCCATGAAATACTTTGCTTTCATTATTACTTTCGCATCGCTCTAGTCTATTGATAGTCTTTGGAAACAAATGACATCATTCTATTCATAGCATTCTGTTTTAAGTAGTGTACTTCTCAATTGCTGAAAATGTCAAATCCTAGAAAACAACACTTATAGGAGATGTTAACATCATTCTCAAATAGTTACCATAAGATTTATTTGATGAATCCGATGTATGTATATATTTCTGTTACATTAGGATTAGAGACAAGTTCTGTTTAGAAATAACTCCACAACCATTTTTATATTTTATTTTCACATTGAAAAACCGTCAGATTTGCTTCAATCTCAAAGAGCGTGTTTACATAAAATTAATGCTGGCAGCGAGCTGTACTTCTTTTCCTAAACAGGAAATGGGTTAAAGAGAGATGGGGGTGGAGTGGGGTGGTAGTTGAGAATAGCAAGACTTCAATTGGAAAAGACTAGTACCAATCCTTGGTGGTCCATTTACACACTGTAAACTTGAGCAAACTTCTCCAAGCATTGGTTTCCTTTAATGTAAAATGACTATGACCATTTCTATCTTGCAAGGGCGGCTTTTTGGTTATTATGAAATAAGGTGACTCGTGAAAAAGATCAGGAACAGTTTACGCTCTCCAAAAGTGCCTCTTTAAAATTAGTAAGTGATCGATATTTGTAGAAAGAATTAAGTCTCCGGTTGGGGAGGCTGGTGTTGCAGTTCAAAAGTCCTGATGAACACTGGCTGCGGTTTGCGGCCCGGTAGGCCTCTCCTCCGCCACCAAGGGAGGGTGTCACAGGACGCTTTCTGAGGGGCTGGTGCGGAAAACAACCAACGAAATTTCTTTACTCCAGGGGGCTCAGGATCATAGAGGATCTCTCCGCCATGTTCCTAGAGCGACCGATGTGGCGCGGACGACCGGCGCGGCCCCTACTTCCGGCGACGCGAGGCACCCCGAGCGAGGGAGCGAGGCTGGCAGCCCGTGGCGCGGTGAGTAGTGGGCCGGGGTGTTGGGCCAGGTGCTCAGGAGCCGGACTGCGCGAGCTGGCGGTAAAGAGGCAACACAGACCCTGGCGTCGAGATGGTGGGCGTGGCCTCGGCCTCCGCTCCCCTTGCCGCCCCGAGGGCGATGGCGGTGGGAGCGGCCGCACCCGGCCTGTGAAGAGCCGCCGTCGGAGGCCTCGGAATGGCAGAGGCCTTAACGGGAGCCCCAGCAGTTGGTGCAAGAGGCAGACGGGTCGGGCCGTGCGCTGCTTCCTTATGCCTTCCGTTGGCGCATTTCGAGACTAAACATTTAACAAACGCACAGAGCTGCTCTGAGGGATTTACAGATGTTGACTCATTTAAACTTCTAATCCTTTATGGTGGAGTAACTTTATTGTCATCCAATTTTATGTATGAAAAACATACACATTCCTGTTACCCATGTTCGCATGACAAGCGGCTCCTAGCCCTCAAGTTTACTTTGATAACCGCACCTGTGTGGAATGATGCTAGGCATCGGTCTCAGAGCTGGACTTGGCGTTGGAAGTTGTGGCACGTCAGTTCTGCCACTAAGAGAACAGGCTCTGGGGTCAGGTTGCTAGGGGTTGGGAACCTGGCCAAAGTATGCCTGCCTTTCCTTAGCTGCAAAATTGAGATAATTGCATAACGCTATTAATGAGAATCAAAATAGCACGGTGTCTAGCATACAAGCTATCTGTTGGTATGATTTCCTCATTTGTAGCGTTCTAGGTGGATTAGATAGTTTCTGCGTTTCCTACTAGATCTGACTGTTATACTTTAAAAAGAATAAATGTTTTTTTCAATGTTTAAGTACTATTATAATAAGTACTATTACAGCTATTTTTTTGAACACCAGCACTATAGACCTAACAAATGTCTACTTTTGATATATGTTCTGTAAATATTTACTAAAGTTAAGGAATGAGTAGTGATCTCTAATTTTGTAGTGTAAGCAGTGTGCTCTTTCTGATACCATAATTAAAGCAGATATAATTATTCAGTATCCACATTAATTCCTCAGCACTGTCAGACCTGAAGTCTCAGTTATACAGGAAGATAAATGGCAAAACAAAGATGTAATTTGTGTTTTCAGTTATTTGCTTTATAAGCTTGTATGCAGAGACTCAGTAATTATTCCCATTTTATGGTCTACTTCTGACAAATAATGTGGAAAATAGTTCCAATAATTTTATTACTTTTATAACCCAGCTTCTATGTTTTCACCTATTTAGAGTTTGCGATTTGTTTCTTTGTTTATAGCCACTATTTTAGATAACATATGTAAATAAATGAAATTAATATATTTTTGAATATAGTTTTGAATTTTTGCAGCATATGGGTATTTTTAAAAATTCTAGCCTATTTTTACATGTAAACTTAATTTCTCCCTTTTTTTGTGTGTTCTACTTGCCACCTTTTTTTTAATTCAGTTTCAGAAGTTTAACATGGGAGTAGATATTAAAACATAATAATGTTTATTTAATGATATTTATTAAGTTTAAATTCTGGAATTAGAATTATTTTGCAAACATTTTTCCTCAGAATTATCTTTGTTTTCATATGTATTGAATACATTTTTAATTTAAACATGAATGCAATTTTGATGAATTTAAAGAGTTATAAAATTGAATAGTTAACAAATCGTGTATAATTTTTTTTCTACACCCAGAAAATTCTGAGCTGTGTAGCTCTAGGAAATGAAACATTCGTTCAGAAGAAGAGAATAGACTCGACATTTGGCTCTTAACCATGCGGTTAGGAAAACCTAAAGGAGGTATTTCTCGGAGCTCAAGCCAAGGAAGAACCTCTGAGAACCAGCGCAAAACAGGCCGGCAGCGGCAGAAATGGGGAATGACCATTCGGTTTGACTCAAGCTTGAGTAGACTGAGAAGAAGCTTGGATGAGAAGCCCTATAAATGTACTGAATGTGAAAAGAGTTTCAGTCAGAGCTCGACTCTTTTTCAACACCAGAAAATCCATACTGGAAAGAAATCCCATAAATGTGTTGATTGTGGGAAAAGTTTCTTTCAGAGTTCTAATCTCATTCAGCATCGGCGTATCCATACTGGAGAAAAGCCCTATAAATGTGATGAATGTGGAGAAAGGTTTAAACAGAGTTCAAATCTCATTCAGCACCAGAGAATTCATACTGGAGAAAAGCCCTATCAGTGTGATGAATGTGGCCGATGTTTCAGCCAGAGTTCCCACCTTATTCAGCATCAGAGAACCCACACCGGAGAGAAGCCCTACCAGTGCAGTGAATGTGGCAAATGCTTCAGCCAGAGCTCTCATCTTAGGCAGCACACGAAGGTGCACAAAGAAGAGAAGCCTCGCAGAACCCGGGGCAAAAATATTAGGGCAAAAACTCACTTAGTATCGTCTTGGAAAGCTGGTACAGGAAGGAAGTCAGTGGCTGGTCTCCGCTAAGTAAAGGGTACTGCTTCAGTCTTCTTTTTTAAAAGCAAAAGTTGTCTCTTTTAGAGCTGGAGATAACTTTATAATAGAGCACTTAAATACTGTATTCTTTCCTAGCATGGAGACATTGGGAGTTTAATGCCATCGGGCTGAAAGAAATTACATGATTCTAGCTGTCTTCATTTCTTTTTTATGTAACCTGGAGTACAAAGAACTGAAAATATGTTTTGAGAAAATATAAGAGCCTTCACTTCATTTGAAATTGCTTCCTACATCATTTTGACAAAAACAATTTTGTTTGATGACGTGTACAAGTGCAGGAATTCCAATGACTACTCGGTTTTAGGACTTTCGGTTGAAGGAGTAATTAAAAGGGAAAAGGAATTAATTCCATTGGTTTTGGAGTTATGCAACAGATGAGATTTTATGTTTGTAAAGTTTTATAGTATAGTAATCATTGATTTGTAAGTATGATTCAAGATTCAACATATTCAAATGCATTCATGTTAACAGATTTTTAATCAAGGCCCATAACTGCATTAGCTTTCTTTTGTTTCTTCTGTTTGTGGACATTTGTTAATTAAAGGAATAGAATTTCCATATTTCACCAAGTTCTTAGAGATACTCTAGAAGTCAAAGTGAAAACTGAATTAGACCACATCTTCTGTTCTGCGAGTACTGTTCTTTGTTATGGTATTATACTACATAAGTTGTTTTCCAGAAGTTGAGATGGATTTATATTGATCCATCTCCATGCCTTTGACTTCTTTTGGCATTCTCTTATGCTCTGATAAACCGGCTACCCTATTAGCTCTACATGAATAAATAATTAAACCGTATTTTACCAAAACATCTCAACTTGCTAATTAAAAATCTACAATTTACATACCTCCCTGACTCCCACTTTGAGAGCTTTAAGTAACCCTGGTTATGTTAAATGTTTGGCGATGGCAAAAGTCACAACCTTTTCTGAGTTATATGAATTATTTACAAAGTCTAGCAAACATATCTCTTAGCTTCTCTCAGAACAGTGTTGTTTCAGACATTCTGATCAGCTTTCAGCTGAGGTTTTGATTTCTATTGTATAACATTCTTCTGATTATTTTATATTTTTTATAATTATACTAGTTTCTGTTGTATTGACAGTTATTCATAAAAATTAAAAAATGGAATATTCTGTTTATTTTTTCCTGGGAAATTGTTTTAATGTTTTAGGCAGCATCTAAAATTACAGCTTTTGGAAGAATCACTTGTTTTTCCTGTTTTCATTTCCTCAAGCTTGAACTTTGCTCCCTCTTGGCCTTGCACTGAATGCAAGGTCACAGAAGATGGCTTTGTTGACAACAGCTTCATCCAGCAGGATATCCATAAAGTGTTTTTTGAGTATGAGGTGATTGTGGTTATCTTTTACAAAAGACTTGGTATTTGACCACGTAGCAAGTGTCCCATTAAAGCCAAAATACTTTGTAGCAGGGGCGTGGCTGTGGGCCATTTTGAGAATATATCAGAGTTATTTATAGCAGTTTTGTGTCTGGAGTAACTTCTAACCAAGAACAACACCACTTTCTTAAATTTGATGAGTTTTTCAATTTTGACAGCAACCGCAGGGTCCTATAACAGAAAGACCTTTGTATATTGTTAAGATTTCATAGTTTTAATTTTTATCCTGAATAGACTTCTGTGTTCTCTATAAAAATAAAGCATATACTCTTTAGATTTTGATGTAGTCTCAGTTTGACTGTGGTATGCTTTTCTTAGAGCCCTAAAACTGGGAGCAAATATGTCAGTAACGTGGTAGCCTGTGGTAACTAACATAACAGCACTGCAGCCTTATGCTCCTTTTATGAGCATCTTGGGAGACAAAAATCACAGCTGCTTTAAATTAATGAATTAATGAAAATATTCCCTTACTAGAGATTGAGTAACAGTACATTGTGAGTCTGGTAGGCGCTGCCTCTTTGAATACACTTTTATATGAAAATATTCTGCTGAATTTCTACCATAACTCGGGTTTACCAAACTGAATTCTTTTGTTTTTCTTATACAATCTCTGGATGTTTAATTTGGGGTCAGGGAAGAGCTCCAAGGTCTTTTTTTTTTTTAAGTACTGATGAAATTTCTTCCACCCTACACCAATGAGTAAGATTTGTTGTTAAAAATCCTTGAAACTGATCAAGGCAGCCTTAGCTTAAAGGGACTTAGGTTAAGTGGGTAGTCAAATAGAATTGGAAAGCTATAAACAAATAAATGAGAGTACAGAGGGACCTTCGACCCAATGTTTTTCAATTTCAGCTTGCATCGGAATCACCTGGAAGGCTTGTTAAAACTGCTTTCTGAGCCCACACCTGTAATTGCTTATTTAATAGATCTGTCTGGGCTGTAGCCAGATAATTTACATTGCTAACAAGTTCCTAGGTAATAGTGATATGCTGGTCCAGGACATAACTTTGAGAACCACTGCTGCAATGGTGTGCTTACATAAAATGGTGTCTAAGTCAGATACATACATAATACTAATCTTTGGTAAGGGTAAACAGGATTTAATGATAAAGATTTTGGGCTCTTTGGTCTACCTACTTAGTTTTACATCTTGATTACCTAGCAACTGGGCAACTTGAAATTTTGTTCTTGGCTAAATTGGAGAAGATAGCTGTGGTTGAGTTGTGGAGGGGCTTGAATGAAGAAATTAATGCAGGTAGTGAGCTTAGCAATAGAGCCTGGGACATTGTTCAGAATTTACTGATTAAGTTGCCAGAGGCAGAGACACTATTGAATAAAATCTGAAATTGTCAGTAGCAAAATTATTATTCCCATAAATTTAAAGGTAAGTTCTTTTGGAGAGAAAGGGATACCTATAAAGGGAGGAGCCATCTAATAAGTTTCTAAAGGAAATTTAAGAACCTGTATGAATTATTTTGAAAAGTAGTAGGACTACCTCTTTAAAATAGAAGTACGTAGCCACAAACTGTATTCTCCACATTAGGGAGGCAAAGTGATTTTATTTTGCTGAGGAAGTAAATAGCTGTTGAGCACTGGCTATGTATAAAAGACTGGTAGAAAAGGTAAATTACATTTTTAAAACAATTTTAAAGCACGTGACGAATATACAGTGTGATTTTCAAATTGGAAGAATTTACATCTGGTACAACGAAGAAAAAGGGTCTTGAAAGGGATGACATTCACAACTAGAAACCCAAAAGGTTGTAGAGGGCAGGTAGTCAATGTAAATGAGTGAAATGTGCTGTAAGCTGGAGTGTACCTGCCCATCTAAAAGGATAAACCTGACTCAGTTTCGGCCAATTGTCAATGCAGAGATTCAGACCCAGATATGCCAGCTCTTAATTTTTCGAGAGAAACCAGAAATCTAAATTTAAAAGGCACGGCCCTTCTTATCAGCTTGCTACACCTGGACTAGATTTTTAAGGATGTAAAGGTTCTGTAACTGTGTGGTGGGAAAGGAGGGTGGAGGAAGAAAGGAGGGGAGAGGCAGAGCTACATAATAAAATGGAAGCTGCAAAGCGCAGAAGAATCTCAGAACAGGAACAAGTAGTTGCCTTATTGACATTCCGGTTTTATCTAAGAAAGTTGTGGGATATGAGGCTGGAATGGGCCTCCATGAGAGCCCTAAATATCAACCTTAAGGAACAATTTGATAAGATAGGATGCACGAAGGTTTTTAAGCATAGGTTAAAAGATGATTATCCAGTGAGAACCATGTTGCTAGAAGAAAAACTACCCCAGAATAGAGCCAATTGGCTAATTGGACTTAAAGATTTCATTTTCTGCCTTGGGCCTCGAATCTTATCTCCTGGTCCCACACTGACAGTAACTCCAAACTGCTCTGTAACTGCTTATTCTGCTTTGACCAATATCTGTTTTGAGAGTTAGGCCTCCAAGAAGTTGACCTTGAAATTAATAAATTTTGCTGCTGAAAAATGAGAAAATATAGCTACAGAAACACAATTCTTATTTGAGTTTCTTGTAGTAAAACTAAGTATAAGTGGCACCATTGCCTAGAATCATTACAGTTTTGTTTAAAAGAAGAGCATCTAAGGAAGTGACTGTATGGATGTTGGGGTTGTCTTCCCTGGAGGGAAGATGAGTATTTATGTGTAGAAGAAAGGGATGTTCAGTGAACAAAAGACCCAAGTGTTCCCCTACATTTCCCAGCACTGTTGCAGTCAGGTGAGAAGCAAAGAGTTTTGGTCATTTGTAAGCAAAAGTGATGCCTCTAACAGCTGTTGTGTGATTTTCTATGCTTCCATTTCCCATAGTGGAAGGGTTGGATAGTTTCTGAACCTCTTGCCAACCTGCACAAAATTGATCTTTTAAGAAATGTATGTATGTGTTATAAAGCTTGCAAAATCCTTAACATGATCCAGTTTTGAAGCGGAAAACAGAGTTTTGGATCATTTAAAAGTTGAAAATGACATTAGTTTTCTAAAACTATCTACACTGTGTATGTATTTTAGAATTCAAAGAGCATAAAAGAATTGAGGTCATTAAAAAATAGTCATCCAATTTAGAGGAGAGAGAGGTAAGTATCCTTGCAGTCCCTTCAAACCATGAGAATATGATTCCTTGAAGTTTGATATCATTTTGTACATTTGTTCTTTCATCAATTACTTAATTCTTTCAACAAATACATGTGTATCATGTGCAAGACTAAAGAATAAATTCTGCAATGAGCAAGGACCTCCAAGAGAATAGAAAAGATTGAATGTGCTACTCTGCTTCCTAATTTGTCAAGAGACCTCTAAGACACATTTTTTTTTTTTAATTTAGGAATTTGAGACAGTCATACTGATTTAAATGAAGCTTTTGAGATTAATATCTTTCTTAGGTTTCAGAGAGCAACCTTCCTCTCCCGTAATATTCTTATGTTCAAAGCAATCTAAACGGGTTACCTTGGAGAGCAGTCCCCAGCCTTTTTGGCACCAGGGATCAGTGCTCCTATGAGAATCCAATGCCTGGTGGGTGATCTGAGATGGACCTGAGGCAGTGATGCTAGCACTGGGGAGCGGCTGCAAATTCAGATGAAACTTCGCTCACTCATCTGCCACTCACCTCCTGTGTGCAGCCCCATTCCTAACAGACCATGGACCAGTACCAATCCGCAGCCTGGGGGTTGGGGACCCCTAACCTAGGACATAAGAATCCCATCTATTCAGTGGGATTAAAAGGCTAAATGACAGAATTTGAGCAGATGAGTCCGATGGGGGCAATATGATGATTTGGGGCAAACGGTCATAGAGAGAAGTTAAGGTTCAGTTAGAAAACCAAAGTTTATATATTCCAAAATATGAGAAGTTTTAATATAGTTAATTAGACTTACTATCTCTGTTACCCTATATTGTTTTGTTTTTGTGGGTTTTTTCTTTTTTCTTTTTTCTTTTTTTTTTTTTTTTTTTTTTTGCCTATTTAGTTCACCAATTTGATTTGTGTTTAACATTTTACCAGTATTTAGTTTACTCTATTAAAATAATCAGTCTGCTTTTTCTTTTCCTGGCTGAACCTTGACTGAAACAATAATAATGAGAAGTAAAGTAAAAGCACAAGGATCTATGGTTTCTTACCAATCAGAATAGTATCATCCAAAAATATAAACCCTACTCAGTTGGCAAAGCTGTGGAGAACCAGCCAAGCTCATACATTGCTGTTGGGAATACAAAAATATTGGAACCCCTACAGAGGATAATTCAGCATTATCTAGTAGGTATATATATGCATTTAATTTTTGACCTAGAAATTAAGCTAAGAATTGGTCCCAAAGATACAGTACCAAAAATATGAAATAATGTACACACATGTCAGCACATTTTCACAGAAAAGATTTGTTCATTACAGTAAGACATTGACCTACAATGTAAACATATTATGTTTTGGGGTGTTTTTTTTTTTTCAGTGATGGCTTTATTTTTCGTGATTCCTCATGGCTTTTTGCCTAACTTTAGTTGGGTCGGATTTTCATCTTCAGTGATCAGATTTCCTCACTTTGTGCAGGACCCAGAAGCATATTTACTAAGTGCTCTTGAGGAAATTAAGTGTCAGCACTGATGCAGATCAGCAGATTAAGTCCCTAGGCTCAATCAGAAACACTCCAAGCCAATGAGGGCACTTTGTGGACAAAGGAAATTGAAAGTACTCAGTCACACAAGTATTCATTGTTCTGGGACACTGGGCTTGTTTCACTTCTTTACATTACTTAAAATTGTCACTAGATGGTAGCAAAGGAGATATAATGGAAACCAGCATGTTATTTACATTTACCTTGAAACTTTGAAAATACCATATTCAAAATGTTAAAAGTTTGAGGCCACTCTTTACAATCAGATAGGATTTAGTAAACTGTCTTTGAAGGTGCAAGCATAATTTTTTTTAAATGAGTATATTTTAGTCAAATTACTTGAATGTTCTTTCCATTTCCACTGTAACTTAGATACCAAATAATTTATAAGATACAGGGGGATAAATAAGTCCTTTTCTTATCTTGGTTGAAAAAAGAAATCATCTAGAGTGTTCGCTAAACAAATCATAGTTATTTTCTCTGCACCCCTCTTTCTTTGCTCTCTCCAACTACCAACTCCTTGAAAGATTTGTCTATTCTTCCTCTCCTTTCCTGACATGCTCCCCTCCATCCATTCCCATCACCTTTCATTCACCCCTCTGCTCAGAAACTCTCTTTCCAAAGATTCTCCATGAATATTCGTGCAG